TCAGCGACTTCGTTGTTCCTCACACTTCACTAAACAGCTGCAAATCTGAATTACCAAGTTTTTTCATTGCGTTTGTATAGAAGTTTGAATAGTGATGAAGAAGTCGATTCTCATGGCAGCTAGTAGGAAAAGCATGGTAGAAGTTTCAGGAAAAGTAACTCCACCAAAATCTCATCTTCACAAGGCTCTTGAGATGAGCTCTGCTCACTCCTAGGACCCAGATGAACCTGGTTTCCCAGTTGACCAGGGGCTTCTCAGAGGCTGGTAAAGAAAATGTATGTTTAGCGAGTCAGAGCAATGCACTGGGGCCAACAGCCTTGCTCTTCCTCTGTGTTGCCTGCCAAAGAAAAGGTGAAAAAGCTTTTTCCACTCTGTTAATCAATGTTAAAATACTGATACGACTTCCCCAGTCCTAGCCTTCTCAAAACAAGTTCAATTAACACGTCTTAGAACTGAACTGTGGAGACTTACTTTAGTGTTGTGGTTTAAATCTGTTAATTTTTTTTAATAATTGGTTTTCGCCCTACTGTTGCCTTTGTTTTCCCAGCAGAGTACAGAAACTAATGAGATTTTTTAAAATCTAAAATTCTCTTAGGTCCAGGCATGAGACGTGCTGTGGTAGAAACACTAAATGACGGGGGTTTCTACATAGAAAAACTGTTTATGTAACACAGCTTTTACATAGCTTAAGAAATCCAATACCTAATGGTACTGTGACCATACATTAAAAGTTTCAGCCCATACAGGGAGGAAAAGATAAATAAAGCCAACTGTAAATGGAAGCGCTTTCCCATCTTAACTATATGGTATTATCATCAATCACTAAAACCTTTTTCCTGTATAACCTCACTTTTTTTCATACCCAGTTTGCTCAGTGATACTGTAATTTCAGCATTTACAGCCTTACGTGGCTTTTTTGTTGTTGCCTGTTAGGATATTGCAACAGTGACAGCAGGGAGTGAATACAGCAGGTATAACCAGGTTAGTTCTTAATACTCATATGAAGTCTTCTCTCAGGGAAGTGATGAACACCATGTAATATAAGTTACTTATAATGTGACTTGACAAAAATGTGGAAAAGAGATGACAATATAGTACAAAAGGAGTTTTTCTTCTCTAGTTTCTATTGTTATATTTGAACTATCCCTTGTTCTGTCTTTTTGCAACTCAGAGGCCAGTTTAGGAATAAATGTGATCTTTATTTTATGCTAAGGGGGGTGTGCATGTGTATATATGTCTATGTATTATTTTTTTATATAGATATGCATTCACGTTATGTATATAACTAGGTTATCATGTGCCGTAGCATCACAGTAATGGATATTTAGCACTAGCATTTACCATCAGTCATCAATTTATTTTTTATTTTTTTTTGTAAAGGGCTTGTGTTCAACTGCAAGTTACAAGTTTGGAAGAGCACAAAAATTCATTAGCACAGACGTCAGGTGTGCAAAATCCTCAAAATTTTGAAATGAATCTCTGACCTCACTTCTGAAATGTTTAGAAATAAGACATTTTTGGTAGATGTTTACTTTCCCACTTTTACTGTGAGAGAGACAGTGATCAATTTTTTTGTAAGACAGGGATGACTTTCTGGTGTTATTTTTTCCAATTTTCTCTTTCATGATTGTGATTAAAAAGCCTTCTACTCTAGTGTTATTTTCTGTTATTTGAACTCAATAACTTTCTGCTTTTTGATACATGAAAATAATTACATGATGATTGGATAAATAATGTATCTGAAAACAGAGCAGAGCTGGATAAATAACAGATGAAAATTACCTTGCTAGAGTAATAAGACTGAAAAATATTTTTCCATCTGGTAGGGATGCTAAAATTATCTTGTTAGCCCTTTTCTCAGGGAAGAGAAAGCTTGTTGTGCAGAACGAAACTGAAGTAGTGACAGGGAAGAAGGCAGCTGCTCTTCGCACCTTTTTGGTAGCAGAAACAAGAAGAAAATCGGGGAATAAAGGGAACAAACGTGGCTTGGTGTTGAAGCAATTTTTTAGCACTGATGGTGCACAAGAGGAGGCTCCTATGGGCTGTGAGACGAAGATCTAGCACGGGGATGATAAGATGTTGTAACAAACAGCAACAAGCCACCAATACTGTTGTGTTCATATTTCTCTGTCAGATGCTACATACATCTCGCTGAGCAGCCTCTTACTAAATGCACTGAATCGTGCTTTGAATCGCTTGCCGCTGCCTCTCTAGAGAAATGAGTTAAGGATGTGTAGAGGAACAATGCAAATAATCTTTTTCTCAGGAAAAAGTAGCTTAATTCAAGCCAGTATTGAAAAACAGATAAAATAAGATTTAGACCCTTATCGTTTGCAGAGGCATTTGAGGCAGTAGTCTGTCTATCAGTGGCAATTTAGTCTGAAAGTAATGTTTATTAACAGCAATGTGTTAGATTTGAAAAACTAAGCAATGTGAAGATAAGAGGTGCTTTATCTGGATGATAATATCAAGCTTGGTAAATGCCAAAAATGCAGATGGAAAGGCAAAATTCATAGGAACAGAGAGCACACCAGGCAGGGCAAGGCAGTAGAGAGAGCAGCCAGGAGAACGCCAACAGAAGAGATCTACAGAGAGACAAAATTTGGCTCTTTGAAAAAACTAAGACAGAAAAGTAATACAGAGTTAAAAGTTCTGGATTAAGAGACTACTTTATTCCTTTGGATCTGCAGAGTAAAATTAATGTCTGTCTCTCGAGTATAGAGGTATAGAGGTCTCAAGTATAGAGGTCAGTTATAGAGCTTTATTTGAATGGGGGAGTTTGATAGACAATCTAGATTGGAAGTGTAAGTACTTGAAAAAAGTACATATAATTCTCACAATATATGAATTGAGTCTTTGTTTGGTGGTTTGTGTGGGTTTCTTTACAAAACTTTTCTTCTTCTACCAGATGAAGTGGCTACATGCCCATAGGCACTGCAGAAAAGCTACTGTACTTTTTTCTGATTTTAGTGAGTTTTATGTGCCCTGAGGATTTCAATAGAGTAGGCTTATTTGAATTAAAACAATATTATCACAGTGGTATAAGTGAACAGAAGTGTTAGTGTGGCACATATAGCTAGAAAGATTATTTTGTGGTGACACAGTTTTCCTATTGTACAATAACAAAAGCACAATTTAAGCATTATATTCACTTTGGAGCAAGGGGAAATACTAAAACAAAATCTTTATACGTTGCAGTAGTTACCTCACTTGCTACTGAAATGCAGCTCTTTCTGGGAGTGTAGCATAGCTCTGCAAATAACCTGGAACAGTTTAGGATAAGTTTGAGAATAATTTATTCTAGTGAGAGAAGTAGAATGAAAATACCAAAGTGCAGAAGGATACCTTGGTTTGTCCAAGTACATTGGGTTGGAGAGTGATCGTAAGGGATTCATGTAATGTCTCCACCAGAAACCTATACCAGAGCATTATTGAGATAGTGCTTTTTATTTATTTAAAACTATTGAATTTCATTTTATTGGGGGGACCCAGTCTAACAAGCATTAAAAAGGCCTGACCATGCCTTGGTGGTGTCCAGCTGAAGCATATACAAACAGTATTGAAATCTATCCTTACTGTGTGAACTTAAAGAAAAAAAAAAAGTTGCAATTGCTTATGTTTGAGTGGGTATTACTTCTGTCCCAGCTCAGAAAGTGTTTTCTTCAGATGGTATGTAATAGCTTTTCCTTTTTTTCTGTATATTTTTATAAATTTTGTTTGAAAATTTAATTTCTAATCCACTGAGAATCAGTAGCATCTATTCCTTTGTATTGCAATCTAGCTTGTTAATTTTATACAGAGTCTGTCAGCATTTCTTTTGCGTATTTTGTTCCTTTATGTGCTGTAAAAAACTCTTGCTACACTGTATATTATCCAGCCAGTTGTGGCTTGAAACATTGCCTAAATGCTAGCTTATGTTTCCCCATTTTCAGGCCATAGCTTTTTATGTTTGACAACTCAAGTCTTGTAGCAATAACATCGAGTTTCTGCTATGCTTAGAAAAACACCGCCCATTTAAAAATATCATCTGCCACCATTTTATTGCACAATGGATAGATCTACCTTGGAGCTTTGCAGTGTTTTGTTTGACTCTCTAGCTGTTTTTTGGACATGAGGTTTTTATATAAATTCCAATAAGCCTTTGCCTTTCACGGCTGAACACTTTTTGGAAAAGTCAAAGAGGAAGGTTTCTGGCTGACTTCCACTTGTAGAAGAGCCTTTACAAAGTCCTTTCTGTATGCGCTCAATGTGCTAATGTTAAGCCAAAGTTTTTAGAGACTTCAGTACTTGGAAGTACTATCTCTGTTCTGTCATCAGTCTTATCTGTTAAATCCCAATGAGTGTGAAAAATGAGAAAAATCTGGGTTTGCTTGGCTGTTTCAACAGTATATTGAGAATGGCCAGATTGCTGGAGAAGATGATTCTCTTGGAAACCTCAACAGCCTGGCCTCCTAATCTGTAGGCACATAGAGCTCATCTGAGTGTGTAAATAAAAATAAATAATGCAGTGAAAAATAAGCAGAGTATTTTGCTGAATTGTTTCAAATTTGGATCCACTATAACTAATTTAAATCTTTTGTTGGGATTTATGCAGGCAAGGAGTCACGTTTAAGACATTTGTAATTTAAAGCTTTCCTGCTACTACACCTCTTCTACTTTTATATCCTATCATGATACCTTTTTTCTGCAAAGAAAGTCCCTTTTATTCCCTCTTCTTTTCATGCTTTAAGAGAACATTTGCTTCTCAAGAGAACATTTGCTTCTCCATTTATCAGAGGTAATGAGAAAAGAGTAGCTTTGGATTCTTTGAATCAGTCTAACTGGGCTTCTTTCAGTGTGTAAAATATCCTTCTTTTGCTCAGGGCTTTCATTTCTTTGTGCAGTCGCTCCATCTCCAGCACTCAGTATCTTCCATGCTTTTTTAATTAAAAAAAAAAAAAAAAGCGGGGGGGGGAAGCAATTGTGATCCAAATGACGGTGGGCTCCATTCTTTATTCCAGGCTGATTCACGGAGGGCAGCTGTTAAATGGCTTGGCGGGGCCAACTGTGATGAACGCGGCACCGTTTCTTTCCACAACGTGGTTTTCTCCGGATGAACGCGCCACAGCAACAGCCATCGCATCGCTGCTCAGTTACCTGGGCGCTGCTGGCGCGTTTCTAGTGGGACCTCTTGTAGTGCCATCTCCTAATGGAACATCTCACCTCCCACTGGTATCGCAGAGCAACACAGAGCACATCAAGGACCGCATTGAGGCTGTGCTGTATGCAGGTGTGGTTTAAAAATAAGAATTTAAAAAAAAAAAAAGAGAAAAAGAAAAAATTTACATACTTTCATCTGTTTGGTACTTGTGAACCACTACCCTCTAGTGGCTGGGCTGGCCTCAAAAAAAATACTGACTGGTGGGTA